TGGGCGCCGTTTACGCATTGGGCACCGCGCGGGGCGCCGTCGCTGTCTTGGGACAGCCCTATGGTGATTGTTCGGGTCCCCGACTTTCGCAGTGCTAGCGTCGAGCATCAGACCGCCGTTGTGATCGCGCTGATTTTTGGAGGCGTATGCCGTCGCTCGCATTCAATCTTCTCGCCCTGAAGCAGATCGTATTTGCCTCCTACTGTGCGAAGTAGACTGCGGGCATGCGTTCCCCAGCTGGGCCTGGGAGTTCGCGTCGTTGTTCTTGCGCCGCACGGGCTGACCGTCGGCCCTGCTCACTCTCGCGTCAATCCTACATGTTGGGGCGGATGGGAAAGCAAGTTCTCGAGGATGATTGGTGCGCGCTGTCTGGGTTCGGTCTGGGATTCTTTGGGGGCGTGCTCTGTCTGGTTCGCTGTTTGCTATCGTTTCAGCGCTGGCCTTGCAGGTGCTGCGAGATGCCGAAGAAGGGCATCAACCGCGCTTGCGCCGACGACTTGAGCGGTGCGCTGTCCTCGCTGAAATTGCAGATCCAGCTCCGTCGGGCGATGACGGTCGTGGAGCCCGGAGTTGATTGCCCACTTGATTCCTGCACTTATCCATTCCCGAATGGGGCTCGTTCAAGATCTGACAAGTTGTTCTACCTCGGGGCGCGGGTGGGCTTGGGGGCGTCGGCGAGGGACCCCCTTGCTTCGTCGTCGGCCGTGCTCTTTCCGTCCTGGTTTCTGTCTACCATGTTTTACTTTATGCAAGTCCTCCACATGTCCAACGGTGATGAAGCATGATGATTGTGGAGCCCTCGCTCAATGTATCCGCCTCCCGCTCGGTGCTCTCTCCGCGCCGTGGATTGGCATCGCTTGCATTACTGGGGTGGTCCCAAGTGGCCGCTCGAGATTTTGTGCACGGCGACTCTAGCAAGGTCAGAGAACTTCAATCTCCCGCATCAAGAGCAAGTCTACCAGTGCTTCATTCAGATGATGGATTCTCCGATGAATGCCGAGCTTGGCGGATGCCGACTTGCTGCACGTCTGTCCGACTGGCGTTCGTTGCCCAGCACGTTGGCAGGGCCGATCGCAGGTCGAGTGCTTGCGTGGCGGTGCCCACGGCGCATGCTCCCTACTCGCCGCGGCGGCGGCCGAGGCTGCGTGCGCCGTTGCAGACGGGAAGCGCGGAGAGCCGCGAACTTCGCATGTCTGAGCCTCTGGCCTGAGGAGGAGGGAGGAGGAGGAGGCGGAGGAGGAGGATGAGGCGGAGGAGGAAGAGGAGGCGGAGGAGGAGGCGGAGGAGGCCGCAGAGGCGGCCCCAGCGGGCTGCCGTGATCGGAAGCGCTTCCCAGGACAACGCCCTCGCGCGTTTGCAAGCGGCTCCCTTCCTCCCCGTGCCTGGGCCCATGCGACGCGTGGCCCTCTTTGGGAGCATGGCTGGCCTCCCACCGCATCGTCTCATCCCGCAGCCGTGCTTCGTGAGCTTTTGGCTGCAGAGGGGTCCCAGAGAGGCAGCGCCGTTCATTGGGTTGGTCGTCCCAGGTCTCCGTGGTCTGTCGGCCGTGCTCCGATAGAGGCCCTGGTCGCCCGACCCCTTTCAGAGATGGGGGGTCCCTGAGTGCACCCTCGCCGTTCTGGACGAGACCCTCGATGCACGCCATGCTTATCCTGATTTGCGCCTCGCGCCTCTCGACATTTTCCTGCGCCCACAGGTTAACCCTGATGCCGGTCGTTCTGCGCTTCGGGCTTTCAGACGCACGCGGCCCGTGGACGGTGCTGCGAGCTCGGCGGGTGGGTAGGGTGGGCTGGATCTGGGCCTCCTCCTGCACTTGCTTCTTCGCAACTTCTCCTGTGCCCCCTTCCCCTCTCCTTCTCGCCCAATAGCCTCCTTCTCCTCCTCCTCCTCCTCCTCCTCCTCCTCCTCCTCTTCCTCATCCTTACTCCTCCTCCCCCCATACTTATCCTCCTTCTTCTTCTCCTCCCCGTCATGTCTGCCTCCCTCCCACACTCCCTCACTCCCCCTCTCCCCTTCCTCCCTCCCCTTCCTCCCTCCCCCCCTCCCTCCCCCCCGCCTCCGGGCGACCTCCCGCCGCCGCTGCCAGGACGATTCCGACGACGAGGAGGCGCGCCCAACCAAGCCCGCATCCTCGGCCCGCGCCCGCCGCCGGCGCCCCCCACCCTCTGGTCAATGCCCCCTTGGTCCTCCTCGCCCTCTCCCCCCACTTCCTTCTTGCCTTCCTCGGTGCCCCGCCCCCCCGCCCGGAGATGGATGGGGGGAGGGGGAGGAGCGTGGAGGAGCGAGAGGGGAGGTGGCCTGCAGCAGGGGAGGAAGCCAGTGGGGTGTCAGGGAGTCGGGGAAGGGGGGAAGGGGGGACTGGGAGGATGGCCAAGGGGATGCGAGAAGCGGGCATGTGCGGAATGAGGGGGGAGCGAGGAAGGAGGATGGGCGAGGGGGGGGGAAGGCACCGTAAGGAGGAGGAAGAGGAGGAGTTGGAGGAGGAAGAGGAGGAGGGCGAGGAGGAGGAGGATCACAGGGAGGAGGATGACGGGGAGGAAACGGAGGAGAATGAGCTTGAGGAGGAGGGGGAAGAGGAGTTTGAGGAGGAGTAGGATGAGGAGGAGGGGAAAGAGGAAGGGGAGGAGGAGGAGGAGGAGGAGGAGGAGGAGGAGGAGGAGGAAGAGGAGGAGGAGGAGGAGGAGGAGGAGGAGGAAGAGGAGGAGGAGGAGGAGGAGGAGGAGGAGTTGAGAGATGAGGAGGAGGAGGATGGTGCGGAGGAGGAAGAGGAGGAGGAGGAGGAGGAAGAGGATGAGGAGGAGGAAGATGGGCAGAGGCAGGGGGGCGTGACCTGGAACGCCCTGGCGCGACGCTGGCGACCTGTGACAACGACGACCACCGAGACGACCTGCGACGATCCCAGACTTCCGAAGACATGGTGTTTTCGCAGCGAGGAATCTCGGAGGTCTCGACACATTCGCAGGTCCAGTGCTCCATCCCGAGTGTCTTCGGGATGCTAAGCCATCGAACACATGTTTTGTTGCTCCTGGTGTCCAGCGAGGGCCCCCCGGGGGCTGAACATTGGCGAAGACTTTCCGTCGTGATTTTGTTCGCGACCCCTGCGATCCGACTCTGTGAAGCCATTACAACATCGCACGGAATCACGACCGGGGCCCCAGACCCCATTTTCCTGCGACGTCCTCCGAGTCGGACCGAGCCGTGCTCGTCCCCGTTGCCCGAGGCCAGGCGAGCGTGCGATGTCCAAATCGCAAGACGCCACCATGCTTCGGAGGCAGAGGAGCAGGAGGAGGGGGAGCAGAATGAAGAGGGCATGGAGGAGGAGGAGGAGGAGGAGGAGGAGGAGGAGGAGGAGGAGGAGACCAGAAGCAGGAGGAGGGAGCAGGAGGAGGAAGAGGAGGAGACTGGAGGAGGAGGAGGAGGAGGAGGAGGAGGAGGAGGAGGAGGAGGAGGAGGAGGAGGAGGCGGGAAAGGCGGAGGAGGCGGAGGAGGAGGAGGAGGAGGAGGAGGAGGGACACAGGGCGCCGCCGTCGGCGTCGCCGCCTCGGAGGCCTTCTTGGGCGCTGTGGGCTCTCCGGTCGTGGCCCTGTCGGATCTTCTGCCGGCTGGCCCGCGGCCTGCGGTCCGACCAGCGGCTGCTGGCTGCCGGCGACCCGCGACCGACGGCCCGCGACCGACGAGGGGCCTGTCTTCCACCATCACCACCAGAAGTAGGAGGGGCAGGAGGTCCTCCTCCTCCTCCTCCTCCGGCTGCCGGCTGGGGTCCGCCGACCAGCGGTTCAAGAGATTCGATGGTTGGTGGAGGCAGGGCTCGCATGTCGCCGCGTGGGCGACGAGAGGAAACGGGGCCGTTTGCGCGGGCAGTGGCGCGCAAGCTGCCCGCGTAAGGTCGCGCGTCAGCGCCCTCGTTTCCAATGTAGCGTGCCGCGCTGGCGGCCAGCGTACGTGAGCCACCGCGTAAGTCGGCCATGCGCACAGGGGGTAGGGGGAGAGGGAAGTCTTCTCAGAAGGACGGATCTGTAAGTGTAAGGCCGGCGCCTTCTAAGAAGCAGCCTCCTTCTAAGAAGCCTTCCCCCCTCCCCCTCCCCCCTCTGCGCGCCGCCAAGCAAGGTCGCTATGCAATCTCGCGTGAGAACCTTCGTCACCGAGCGCGTTCCACTACTCGCGCACTGCCTAATGACTCGCAAACGTCCGACAACACACAGGCCTGCCTCGATGTAGGATCGTAGAACCCCCACGCCGGATCCAGGCCATTTGCGAGTAGTTACTTTGCGAGTAGTCCGGCCACTCGCAGACATGGATAGGGGGAGGGGGGAAGGTTTCCTAGAAGGAGACTGCTTTTTCGAAGGCGCCGGCCTTGTCTAAAGGTTTAAGGCCGGAGCCTTCTAAGAAGCAGCCTCCCTGTAAGAAGCCTTCCCCCCTTCCCCTACCCCCTTGTTTGCGCGCCGCCAGAGTATTAATTCTTCGGGGAAAACGTAAGACTCGAGGTCTCCAAAACTCGGGTTGCCCCACGCTTTCTGGTAAACGCGTCTTGGATTTGGACGGCCCGGTTTTTCATGGCATTGGTTTTGCAGCGGGAGCTCGCGCAAACAACTTCAGATTGGACCTCGTCGCTCTCCTGGCGGCCCCGCCGGGCCAACCCGAGCCCCCCGAATTTGGAGGGACGAGAAGCGACACCAACACCACCAGGGGGGCCACCTGCAGCGAGGAGGTCCACGATGCCTCCCATAGCTGGAGGATGGTGATGTCTCGAGCGAGGGGGGGGGACCACATCACCAGGGAGAACCCCCTTGCCTCCTCGCATCTCCTCGCCCTGGTGGTCCATTGGTGTCCCCATCTCCTTGTTCCTGACCCGCGTCCCCCGAGCCCGAGCCCTGCGCCTCCCCGAGCTTTTTGCGAGCAGTGCAGCGCGCATCGCCTGCACCCCCCTCCCCTCTCTCCTCTCGCCTCCTGGCCGCCGCCTCTGCCGGCCGCCCGCCGCGGCGACGGCCCCGCGCGCGCAGAGAGGTGCTGTGGCGCGGCCCCTGCGCCGCGCCGCTCTGCCCGGTGGACGAGGCGGGCCCCGCGGGCGAGGCCGGGGTCGGGGGCGGCAGAGGGGGGGGGTGACGACTAGGGACCAGGGGGGGGGGGGCCATCATGGCGGGGGCCGGGACCCTTCCCCAGGTCTCGGGGCGCCCTTGCTGGTTTCCTGGCGCTCCTGCCCCCCCCCCCCTGGGCCGCGCACCTGCCGCCGGCCACTATTTGCACCCCCCCCTCTTGGACGCCCCTCTTGGCCGCCCCCGACGGGGGCGCCCGCGCTGGCTGCGCTGCCGCCCGCCGTGCCGCCGCCGCCGCGGGTCGAGGGCGCGCGGGGGCTCCGTATGCGAGAGAGGGCCCCGGAGGGCCCCGTCGGCCTGCTGCCATCGGAGGTGGATAGGCCTCCTGCCCTGACGCGTCGATTAGCGAGTTGGCCGTTCTCGGTTCGCGGCAGGGCGTCGCGGGCGTCATTTTGGCCGGTCCAGGTCCGTCGGTTTCGGTCCCGGGCCGTTTTCGCCAAAGGGTGGTTCACTAAAGGGAGGTTTGTCCACCGCCGATGCCGATGCTAGGACTCCCATGTCGCGGGCCGAGGCCAGATAGCGTTCTCGCGTTCTGGCCACGAGTGTCTGCGCACACATCGGGCGTGTTGGCGGGGAAGCGTGAGACTCGAGTGCGCTGGTGCTCGGGTTTGCTCGCGCTCTTTGGCGAGCCTGTCCTGGAAACTGACGGGCCAGTTGACGTCTTCCCGAAAGAAGGACGTACACCTCCATGTGCATGAACCCACGTGGGTTTCGAGAGTACGTTTTGCGCGAGCGTTCGTAACACGAGGCTGGCCCCGCGGACTGAGGGCCCGTAGTCATGGATGTGGCTGGGCGCATACGTCCCTCTGTGGGCTCCAACCGAGCGCACGGGTGAAGGCGCGTGCGTTTGGCGACGGGCCCGCAGTTCTCCGACGACCGGGTTCATTCGATCGGCGCGCTTCCCCGATTCGGCATCTGGTGGCTGTTATCGGGCCCCCGGGGCCATCAGTCGTGCATCCATCACCAAAGGTTGGCCCCGGGGAAGGGGTCGAGAGCTCTGGGGCCGCACATTGAGAATCAGATCAGCGGCGTTTTTTGGCGGCGAGCCCTGGGGGGAAGTCCGAGAGGGCAGGCCTTCTCAGAAGGCGGCGGGGCTTCGCAGAAGCCCCCGCGCCTCCTGAGAGGCTTTCTGAGCATCCTCTGGAGACAGGGACGGCTTCTTAGAAGGCCGGAAGGCTTCTGAGAAGCTACGCCGCCTTCTGAGACGGCTTGCCCCCTTTCGCTTCCCCTCAGGTCGCTGCCGAGTTTTCTTTCGATTGCGGCTGAGCTGGGGCCAGCAATCGTGCCCTGGGGCATCTAAACATGGATCCAGGACGGAAAGCCACTCCAGGAGTATGATGTTCCAACATACTTTCGCTTTGATCAGGAGAAAGAATTTCGAGCACCAGAGAGTACCGAAACTCTAGGATTGTCACGTGTCGGGCCCTGGAAGACACCCGTCCGACACTGTTCTGACACTCTGTCGACACTCCGTCGACACTTTTCCGGGTGCTCGAAATCCTTTCTGGGATATGGTCCTCAAGTACGATGGGGTGTGGGACCTCTGGGGCCGCGCATGAAACAGATCAGGCGGGCGGATGTTTGGGATTCATATGGCGCGTGCGCTAGATTTAAATCGGGCCTGTCCCTTTAAAGGAGGCGTATTCAAACATAGTCCGAAAATAATATGGCGACTCTTCTCTGTTTCTTTTTGACCATTTTGGAATATTGTTGGACATTTTTTTAAACTTTTCTTCCAAAATCCCCCGGTAGGGAGACAGGCCCGACTTAAATTCAGATGGCGCGTGCACTAGAGCGACGAAGCCCGCTTCCCGTCGCGCTCCGTCGCAGAACTGGTGTGGCGAGGGCCTCAATGCGCGGGGGGGATGCCTTTCCCGACATCTGTGCCACTGTGTCGGCGTTCGTCGAGGGATTCAGTACCGTTCCACCGACCCCCATCCCCATCCCCACCCCCTTCGAGACCCCCACCAAATTGCCACCCCAGTTGGGGATACACCCCTCGAAACCCGAAGGGAACGGCCTCTATCCCCATCTAGGGGGGGTAAATTGGCCAGCAGGGCCCAAGGCCACGCCGCTGGGAGTTGGGGGTCGGATCAACGATGCTCAGGAATGTGTTCGGGTGACTTCAGGCACCGGATGATTCCTTACCTGATGAGGGTGGCGGCGACATCCATTGGCCAATCCACGACGGCAGCTCCACTGGCTTCCGGCCCCTGGATTCCTGTTCCACGGGTTCCTCACCCGTGGAACAGGACAGAGACACAGACACAATTAATCGTCGACTCCCAGGAAAATATGGAAACCATGGGAAGTGGGGGGGAAGACGAATTCCCAGAAAATATGGGAACATATGGGGAATCCTGTTATTTGTGTGTCCTAAGGCCCCTTCACAGATGCCCTCGCCGCAGCGCGTGCCCGAAGGAGGCAGGTCCAGATCCGCTCGCGAGGAGGTCACGACAGGAGGGTTTTTTGGCCATCCCCTGGGGACACGGCCCCCGGGGCCGTCAGCAAAGGTCGGAGGTGGATAGACCTCCTGCTCTGACACGTCGATTAGCGAATTGGCCGTTCTCGGTTCGCGAGAGGGCGTCGCGGCAGTCATTTTGGCGGGTCCAGGTCAGTCGGTTTCGGTCCCAGGCCGTCTTCATCGAGGGGAGGTCTGCTGCAGGGAGGTCTGTCCACCGCCGAAGAGGATGGAGCGGGTCCAGGCCTTGGGCCTTCTCCTTCTCCTCCTCCTCCTCCTCCTCCTCCTCCTCCTCCTCCTCCTCCTCCTCGTTGGGTCGAGGCCTGGGGTCAGTCCACGCTGTGAGAAAAAAACACGGCCTCGGGGGCCCTCTGGGCTTGTGGCCGTGCTTGCACCCCCAGGAGACCGTCGAGGCGCGCGGCCAAGCGTCGAGGAGCTCCTTGGCAGGGCGTCCCTTTTGTTCGCATCCCGTGGGCGCGGCATCCCTTGCCTTTCGCATCTCAAGGCCTCCTAGATAAGGTCGGAGTAGATGGGGTCGGAGGATCGCGCCGTATCGTCGATGTATCGGTGATAATTCTTGTTGCGATCCAGTTCCTCTCCATCCCATCGCCGAGTGGGCTCAGTTATGCTGGGGGACTGATCGATGCCCGTCATCATGACCAGCGGATCAGTGATACGGGCGCTGGCTCTCTCCAGACAGTTCCTTCTCCGTATCCGCAGCAGGAGGTCAGAACTACCCAGACCACTGCCCAACATTCACCCGAGACGGCCTCGAGTTGGGCCAGGCTTGGTCCCCACGCACGTCCGACGATTATCGAAACTGGGCCGAAAGCTGGGTCGCCAAGAATCGATCCCGGAACGTGTCCCAAACGCCGCTGATATCTAAAATGTTTGAAAAGACCATGCGTGAGCCCGAACGCTGGCTGTCGAGGGCGTCTGGATTATCCCTGGCGGGGCTGAAGTTGCTTGCAACCTGGAGGATTTGCTATGCTCTTGAAGCTCCTGGCTTGCAGGCGAAGTTGCACCCCAGAGGTGCTGCAGGGGGGGGGGGGGGGACCAGATTTTTTTGAGCCAGGAGCGGGGCCCGACGGGGTCGAACTGGGGCCACCATGCGCCCCGAAAGCGCATGAGTGAACGGTCCGGAATCCGAGAGGTTCGTCTTGAGCGGCGTCTCGGGGCCCGAGGGGGCCAGTGCCGCGGCGGGCGGCGGAGTGGTTTAGCCCGCCTGGGGCAGGACAACTGCAAGGCGACAGTCTGGAAGGAGGCTCCCGCCGCGAAATCCGACACGCCCCGCAGTCTGCTGGGCGGGCGGACTCGAGGGTCGCCACGCGATTCTGCCAGCCCCGAGCAGCGGAGGTGTGCTGCCTCAGATTCCGCAAGCTGCCTGCCGCTTCCCCTCGGCCGCGTGGGGGGTGCGGCCTCCCGGGAGCCTTGCCTCAGGGCTCCTGGTGTCGTTTGGCCAGGACGTGCTCGAGGTCTCGTGGACCATCCTGTGTGGTGGGGGAGGGCTCCCGTGGCCCATAAGAGTTCCCCTCTTGGGCCCCTCTTTTGCGGACCTCTTGAGGTTTGGCTTCACCCTCCGGCAATCTTGGAGTCCGCTCAGGCCGTTACCGGAGCCTTTTTGGCAGTCTTGGGGCCTTGTTGGACCGTCCTCGGACCCTCGTAGGGGTGGGGCCTCTTATGGGATGTCTACGGTCGGTCTGGGCTTGGGGGCCTCTCGCGCCGTCTTGGGCTTCCAGAAGCCAGACATGGCGAGAAAGCGAACAACTTCAGGGCACCTTCGGGGAATCAGCGATGTCTGCCTCCTGGGGCTCTCTCGGGTGCTCTTTGGTTCTCTTGGGGCGTCTTCGGGGCCTCGTGTGCCATGAGGCCACCTAGGATGTTACTGAGTCCTCTCCAACGTGTGTTGAAGCCCCTCTTGAGCCACCCTGAAAGCATCCCTGGACATCCTCAAGGCCTCGGAGGGTTGGCGGGTCTGGAGACTAGCGAGGCCCCAGGGGGCGTTGACGAGCTCATGCCCCTCCCGTTTCTAGGATTTTTGACCCTTCAGGAGGGGGATACTGGGGAGGGGGCCTTCTAGTCATGTCACACGCCTTTTCAACCCCCAGCGTGTTGCCAGCCGAGTGCTTCCTGCATCAGAATGTTCCAGCACCAGAATGCTGTTCATAGAGTGTTGCCAGCCGAATCCTTCCTACATCAGAATGCTGGTACTGAGTGTTGCCAGCCGAATCCTTCCTCCATGACAGTGCTGGTACGGGGTCCCGCCAGCCGAATCCCTTCTGTACCAGAATGCTGTCACGTGGTCCTGCCAGCCGACTACTTCTTCCACAGGATGCTGGTACGGGGTCTCGCCAGCCGAGTCTCTCCTGCACCAGATCATGGAGTGCTGCCAGCCGACTACCCTGCACCATAATCCAGCCGGAGCTCGATGGGCTCTGAGCGGACTTCGGTCAGGAGTCACCAGCGGAGGACGTTGTTATCCATATCCACGCCCTCGCGGTCGGGATTCTGGGGTGCGATCCCGTGGGTACGCGGTCACACGGATACGTCCCGCGCGGGGCATCCGCATGAAAACGCACCGTATTCGCGGGGTCGCGGCCCAGGGCCCCGGCCCGCGAGGCCGTGGGCCATGGGTACGGATAGGATTTCCGCCCACGAGGGGGGAGTTCTGGAGGATTGAGGCCGCGCTTCTCTGTGCGTCAAACGGGGGTGTCTTCTGGAGGAGGAGGAGGAGGAGGAGGAGGAGGAGGAGGAGGAGGAGGACGAGGAGGACGAGGAGGAGGATCGAGGCGGAGGAAGGGAAGGAGGAGAAGGAGGAGGATGATTGAGGAGGATAATGGAATGTGAGGTTGATGACGACGATGCTGATGATGATGCTGCTGCTGATGATGCTGATGCTGATGCTGATGCTGATGCTGATGATGATGCTGATGATGATGCTGATGATGATGATGATGATGATGATTATGCTGATGATGATGAGGATGAGGATGAGGATGAGGATGATGACGATGACGATGATGATGATGATGATGATGATGATGATGATGATGATGATGATGATGATGATGCTGATGATGACGATGAGGATGAGGATGAGGATGAGGATGAGGATGAGGATGAGGATGATGATGATGATGATGATGATGATGATGAGGAGGAGGAGGAGGAGGAGGATGAGGATGAGGATGAGGATGAGGATGATGAGAAGGAGGAGGAGGTGGAGGAGGGGGAGGAGGAGGAGGCGGATCGAAGAGGAACGATCAGGAGCATTGAGGCCATCGCACGCCCCCGATACTCACCGTGCCTCTCGACCCCCAGGGGACACCAGAGGCCAGGATGCACCCCCCCACGGGCGATCCCCTTGCCCACCCTGCAGACCCGATATTACGATGGGGGGTCTGGGTGCGATGATAACCGCGAGGTTGTCGTTGTCAGCAATGACGGAAATATATCAGCAATATATCAGCAATGATAGGCGATGGTAAGTTGCTCAGCGGCACCTGCAGAGGTGTCTACCGATACGCCCAAGCTCAAGGGCCCTTAAAGGATTGAGCCCAAAAGGTTACGAAAGGACACGTTACCTTCCGTCTGAATATTAGAACATTATGCTTGCTTGCTGGCACGCTATGCTACACTGCTTACAGATCAGCACTGACACTATTTATTTCACACTCGTGCAAAATTCTTCTGATCTGCGCATCTACCGATATAGCGCATTTAGACGTGGTAATGGCACGTCAACGAGCTAAAATGAGACCAGGCGCGCCGCGCGCTTGAAAAGTGAGCCGGCACTGGTCAGGTGTGCCTCATGCTCTCTGTCTGGTCAGTCGGCTCTTGATGCTGCAAAGCGAGGCGTGTGTCTCGCAGCACTGCCCTGATGGCACTGCCGTCCGATCGCTTGGTGAACTGATCACCTAGCTGTTGATCAGTCGGAACCCAAAAGAGAGATAGCTGGCTGCGCTGATCGTCAGCGACGAACTCGTTGCTAACTTCCTCTTCTAGTGACTCCTTGAGGCCCACTAGGTCGAGCAAAAGGCGCCGCTCTGACGGGAGCTTGGAATAACCGTCTTTGCGCATCGTATCGTACAAGCTGGCGCAATCTGTGACCTGAGCGAGCGGCAACAGACTCGGCGGGATGTCCTCTGGATGGGCATCCGGAATCTCTAGCGAAGCGAAAACACAGCGTGTAATCTGAGCACAGCCTAGAGCGTCTACTGCCGACACCGTCTCGGCTGCCAACGTAGATTTGCAAACTCTCTTGATGGTGCCCGATCTCCAATCAACGATCCCTGCTCGAGCTCGACCTCCGCGTAGTAGCTTGACTTCTGCGAGAAAAGTCACGTAGCCGGCCTGCGAGCGAATCTTGATCTTCTTGTCCTTACTGGTTGCTCCCACGGTCTTCGCGAGCAACTTGGAGATGGCGCCTTCAGCTGGCTCATCAGCGTTGGCCCAACTGGCGTCGTGGAACGTCACCAGGCACAGAGGTCCACGTAACTTAGGGAACTCCAAACCCACGTCCGCGTGCTTCCGCGCCAGCTTGATGAGCCTGTTCGTCTCGAGCAAGTCCTGGACGGTGGGCTTGTTCTGGGTTCGCTGCCCCATGGCCACTCCAGCTGCCAGGTCGGGACGAGTCTGCGATGAAAGCCACCCGAGCGCTCCGAGTGCGGAGCGGTTGTCCGAGAACTCAGCTGGCGTAGCATCTGACGACAGTTCCGTCTTGCGCTCCTTGCTGAGCGGAATCTCCTCGATGGTGTTCGCGTACTCGGTCTGCCGTAGATGTAGCACTCCTTCTTGATCTCGCCAGGCCTGCTTGCCGCAAAAGGTAAAAGGCAAGCCTCGCCAGTCGCCCCAGGGCAACAGCTTATGAAGCCTGTCGTAGAGGCCCGGGTACTTGTGCGAGATCCCCAGCAGCAAGTCGTCCACGTGGGCGACCACCACCGCACAGAGCTCCCCGTGCTGGTCGTAGCCGTAGTACAGCGCTGGGTCCAGCGAGTGCTGGTGTAGGCGAAACACGTAGTTGTCGCTCAGCTTTTTCTCCACCGCGAGCAAGGTCCTCTTGAGCTTCGCCCGCCACTGTCTCGGTGCCGTCGCCAGCCCGAAAGCTCCTTTGAGGATTTTGATCAGCTGCTTCGGGTTGAGCCCAGGCAGACCTTCGCGAGGCTGGGCCATGTACAGCTGCTGGTCGGGCTGCTCGTCGCCTTGCATGAAAGCCGCCTCCACGTCCGCTGCGTAGATCTCCAGGTCGAACCTCTGGCAGATGGTGAAGAACAGCATGGTCGAGTTGCGGGCGACCGTGGGCGCGTCCGTGCGCAGGTCGCCCTGAGCGAGGCGCGGGTCCATGTGACCCCCGACGCAGAGTCGGGCCTTCGCCTTGACCGGCAGCGGATGCTTGTCGGTCCGCAGCGGGGCGTTCTTGTCCCGGTACACGAACCGGCTGGGCAGGATGAGGCTGGGCTTGATCATGCCCCGATCGCTTCGGACTCCTCGATGGAGAGTACCTGACAAGAGCCATACTTCTGCCACTCGCTCCACTGCTTGGCGGCCGCCTCCCTGAAGAGCTCCCGATCGGAGTCCTTGATGGCCCTCCAGTGGATCTCCTTGTCGGCCTGCTTGCGCTTGATCCTCTCGGTCACGATGGAGGTTTGCAGCGCTTGTCTTGGAGCCGACCTCGAACGTTGGCGGGCTCCTTCTGCTTCGGGTCCGGCTGCTGCCTCTTGATCGGGCGCCGCCGCGCGGTCGCGCGAAGTTGCCCTTGCGGGCAGGGCGCCAGAGCCTGCGTGCCCCTTCTCGGTCTGGAGGCGCTTGAAGGCCGGGCCGAAGTCGCCGCTGTCCCCTCCGTCGAAGGTAGCTCGACGTCGTCGGAACTCGTCAGGGCCGAAGGTTCGCTCTTCTTCAGCTTGCTGCGGCACGTCGGCGGGCAGCACCTGGATCTGCCTGCTGGGACAGATCCTCGGAGACGTTCAGCCTGAGGTCGCTGTCTTCCGGGTTGTCGATAAATTCCCGCCACGCCTGCTCCATCTCGTCTGGCTTGACCTCGGGCTCGCCAGGCGCCGGGCGGATGTCCTCCACCGGAGCCTATTCCTGTTCGAGCGAGTCGCGAGCCCGGTTGAGCTCGGCCACGGCCTGACCGATCTCGTCCCTGCCGTTCGGAAACCAGACGTCGTCCGGAGCGAGTGCCTTGATGTGCTCCGGGGCCACCAGCATGGCGTGCCCTCCTAACGAGACCCAGGTGTTCTCGCCTTGGTGGCCGATGACTACGCACGGCCCCCGCCAGATGCCCTTCTTGGCGTTGCGGTTGCGCTGCTCCCGCTGCTCCTTCTTCTTGACCTGGCGGAAGACGTAGCACATCTCGCCCACTGACAAGGGCGTCGCCACCGTGCGCGTGCGAGCCAACATAGCTCGCCGGAGCTGGTCGTCGTTCTGCATCCTCATGAACGACTCGCGCGCCGCCGTCCGACTAGCATATCGTCGGCGAATCTTCTCGTCGTTGGCCGCGACTTTGTGGGCGCTGTAGTTGGCCGTATCGTCCACTAGGTCTCCGGGCATCTTGGGGTCGCGTCCCGGCACCCACTGCGCGGGGCTGAAGCCTGCTCGCCTTCTCAGCGAGTTCTTCGCGCCCGAGACCATGATGGCCAGCGTGTGCATCTCGTCCTCGCCCCTGATCGACGAGTGCTCGATCGTCCTCGCCGCGAGCTCCTTCCGCCAAGCTCCCTGGCTTTCCACGCGACCGAGCTGCCAATGTGCCTGCCCGGCGATGGGCAGCTGCACCGTGTTGAATGACTGGAACAGCTCCCTGAGGGCGCCGCCGAACCCCTTCTCCATGTCGAAGTGGACTCGGTCCGGTACGCCCGCCCAGGAGGCCCAGCACCCCTCGAACGCGGCGGCGAACTCCTGGCTGGTGTGGCGACCGATCAGCGTCGCGACGTGGAAGGTGGTAGCCAGGTCGACGACACTGAAGTACCATTAGCTCTTGCCGCCGACGTCCTTGAGCTCGAAACAGTCGAAGCCGACGTCGTCTCCAAAATCTTGCACGAAGTGGAGGTGCGCTGGTCTCCTCGCGCTCGGGCGCTGCTGCGAGCGGCACACCCCGCAGATCAGCCCCTTGACGGCCTGGACGGTGGCCGACTTAGCGCCTTTGAGTCGCAAACTGCGCCCCAAATCTTCAGTAGACGGATGGCCCAAGTTGACATGGAGTCTCTTGAGCATGGCCAGCTCGGCTGGCTTGCAGCAGGATGCTGCTTTCTTTGTGAAGGTAATCGCGCCGACCCCGATCCTGCCGTCCACAGTATCTTCGGCCCGCACGTCGTGAGTGTCGGCGAAGTCGTCTCCGCCGCCCATGGGGTCTGGGCCCCCATCAGGCTCGCCCGTTTCTCCCAGGGGCGCGGTGTCGTTCACGTAGGCGGTGGCCTGCTCCCTGGGCACTGTCACGATGAAGGGCGACGTGCGACTGGCAGTCCACCTGGTAGGCGCGCTGCCCACCTTGCTGGCGAATAACCTGCTCCACGATGCGCACCACCGCTCCGCAGAACTTAGCAGGATAAACGCCAGACTTGCGCACCGCCACGTTGTCCCCGAAGGTCTGGTCGTGGTGCTTGCGGCTGCAGGTGCGCTTCAGCTGCTCGAACTCCTTGTGGGTAACGAGCAGCTTCGTGGGGTGCTTGATGAGTCCCCCCGTCTTGTAGTGTCGAGCTCCGTACTCGCACATGTCGCACCTCACCTGGTGCGCGCGCTCCTCCGCCAGTAGCTCCAAAATCGCGCGCTGTGTCCAGAGCCGGCTGGTGGCCGGGTTCTCGATCATGGCCATGTCGCCAGAGTCGAGCTGGTACTTGAAGAGGTCGTGGGCCAATAAAAGGAACGGCCGCTCCGCCCTCCAGATCCGCCGGAGCGCCTGCTTGGCCTTCGGCGTCCGAAAGTTGAGGTGCCTGATGTTCGTGTAGTGTGTGCAGGGTAGCTCGATTGACACGAACTTCGGCCTTGAGGCGTAGTGCAGGTCGTACGTCGCGTCGAGGTCCTTCTGCTTGCGTAAGTCCCATCCGTACTTACGGTCGATCACCTCTGTGGCCGTCATCTGGCGCTTCCACGCCGCCTCGGCGATGCCGCCTTCGCCTCCGAACACCTGCATGACGTCCACGCGGTGGCTGCGAACGCTGTAGGCCTCCTTGACGTCCTGGACGTGGTCGACCACGTCTCGCGCAGCACTGGTAGCATGCTGCGCCACTGGCTTGAGAGGTCTAGCCAGCCAGTCCGCGGTGAGCACTGTCTGAAAGGCGAAGGCGCTCAGCAAGCCCGTGACCTGGCCAGGGAGGCCGACGCGCTTGCCCTTCTTGATGCCTGGCCGCCGCCTCGGGGCTGGCGACCCGTCCTGGCGGCCACCGCCGCCTAGTCTCGGCTCTGCTGAGGTTCCCGGGAGCCGCTCGGGTGATCCTCCCTGTCGGTCTCGCCCGCCTTCTCGAAGCCCATGTCGCTGGTGTCCATCTCGTGCGGCTCCGGAGGACGCTGGCGCCGATGCCCGGCCCAGCTCCCCTGGCTTGCTGAGGCCCTCGTGGTCGTCGCCGCTGGCGCCACCCACTCGTCGTCTAGCACCACCTCCTCGGCCATCACTTCCTCCAAGGTGGTCTTGGCCTTCTCCGGGGGGAGGGGCTGCACTCCGTGCGCCTTGACCCACTTGGCAAACCGCGCCAGGAGCGGGCTTGCCCGGTTGCTGTTGAGCTCCAGGACCGCCCACTGCGCGTAGCCCAGGTCGTTCTTGAGCACCCAGCGGTAGTCCGCCGTGGGGTACTTGCCGAAGCGCATCTTGTCGGCCCCGGTGATCTGTGAGCTCGGATGAGCCACCGTTGCCGAGGCACTGCTGGCCGCGTCCTCGACCTTCCAGCCCTTGAGGCGCTGCCTGAGCTCCGGCACGGTCGTGCGCTGGTGGAACTCGATCTGGCGGTCCTGGCACAGCTGCTGGAGCTCCTCCTTGTTCTTCTTGCCAAGCCCCGGGATGTACTCGTCCTGCGGCGTGCTCTCGCGGCCCTCGGCCCTCAGCGCACGCAAGATCACCCGGAGCTGGTCGCACGTGGCGTCGCGCACATCCAAGTCGTAGCTTGCCACCTCGGCCTGCAGCTCCGGCATCCGCATGCTGGATATTGCCGGGAGACGGGCAGTACTCGTCGTCGGCAAGTTTTGGTTGCTGCTCCCCGGGCTCGTCTCCTTGGGAGATGTCGTGCATCGCTGGTGCGGCGGGGGCATATGCGCCGGCCGCAAGTTCGTAGAAAGATGCGGTGGCTGGATCTGCCACGGCGCGCGTCGCACTCGCTGGTGGAGCCACAGTTGAACTCGAGCCGGATGGCTGCGGTGATGATGTAGTATGATGACTCCGTGCTGATGGCTGATCTCGTGGCTCGCTGCGGCTTGCTTGCTGCTGAAGTCGAACGCGCCGTGGCGGAGGATCGCTGCGAGGTTGAGCTCCTCGTTCGTCATGATCGTGGTTTGTCTGCATAATCTGTGCCGCGCTGGCTGACCTAGTAGACACTCCCCAGGCCTCGTCTTCCGATCCCGACGACGATTGACGCGATGGAATGCATGCGCTCATGGCCTGGCGCACCTGCTGCTCAAACAGTTCGGCGCTATCGAGCGCGTCGCAGTCAGTGTCCGACTGAGACTCGTCGGCCTCCGAGGCGACCCCTTGGTGGCGAGCCTCGGGCACCGCCGGCTTGGCGGCGCTGGCCACAGCTGTCTCAGCGTGGTAAGAAGCGCAAGGGTGGAGGCGAATTTCGGCCTTGGTATCCGAGACGTCCGAAACGGGCTTGTAGCTCGGCGTGAAGCCTGTGATGTCCAGCGTCGGGTGTCCGGCGCGGCTCAGGCCCATCTGGATGCCGTGATCGTCGATCGACTTGATGTCCAGCTTGTTGTCTCCGGCGTGGTAGACTGTGTCCAGCTCGCCCTGGGCCTTGCGGCTGAACAGTCCTGGCACGGCGCTGCGCGCGATGCTCATGCGGACGGTGAAGGCCTTGCCGTTCACCGAACAGGGGATCAGCGCCGCCTTGAGGCTGAACACCACCTTCGACGCCCCGAACCGGAACGGCTCCTTCTCGGGGTACTCGATGGGCTGGATGTTGAAGGCGGCCAGCCTCTTCTTGATGTCGTTGTACCAGTCGAGGCCGCCGACGCACCGCGCGCAGGCCGTGTCGAAGGTCGGCTTGCCCCCCGACTCCTTCAGCAGGTCCTCGACGCTGAGGTAGATAAGCGCCGAGCTCGTCGCGGCCATCAGGCACTGGTGGTCCTTATTGATGAAGAACGCCGCTGCCGTAACTTCTTCGGGTAGCCCGGCGGCCTGGCGCATCTGCATCCCGTCGATGCTGTGCAGCGCGCCGTACCCCCTGTCGCGAGCTGCGGCCCGCTGGTCCTGCTGGTAGACCGCCGCGACCGTCATCTCCGCCACGTGGGGCTCCTGCGCGTCACTGGTCTCGTGCGTGGCGATGTTCGTCCTGTTGCTTCCCTTCTTCGGGATGTCGGCCTTGGCGTTAGGGTCGTTCTTCTTCGATCACTGCGGGTCACCGCGCCAATGGCCCTTCTGGCCACATGCGCCGCAGTGTGTCCTTGCCTTCATCTTGGCGATCTTGGGATCGTCTCTCTTCGGCGGGTTGCCGCCGTCGCGCTTGGCGAAGTAGCCGCGCGCCTGCTTCGCCTCCTTCAGCTTGTCCTTGGCGCGCGCCATCTTCTTGGTGAAGAAGGCTACCTGCTCCTCCGCCTCGTCGAACGCGTCCTGCAGCTCGTCGGGCAGCTCGTCCTCGTAGTCGTCGGAGCTGTCTGAGGACGCGCCGTCGAACTCGGCCCTACGATCCTCCTCGTAGGTCTCCGTGGCGTACGCCCGCTTGTGGTCCTTGTTCTTGTGACCTCCGTAGCCTCCTTTGTCGTGGCTGTCCTTGTTGCCGTCCACGACCGATACCTTGGGCAAGTTGATCATCAACTGCTCCTGAATCTTGGTGGGGTTGAACTGGCTGCCCACACCGTTGAGCACGCTCGCCGCGCGCTCCGGGGGCAGGCGGGCCCCCTTGATGTACAGGTCCGCCAAGACCTCGTCGGGCACCTGGATGCCCTTGGCCTTCAGCTTGGTGGCGATCCCATTGAAGCGGCTGTTGTAGTCGCAGATCTCCTCGTACTTGTGCCGGACGCAGGCCGGGCGCACGAAGGTCTCCAGCAGCGCTGGGGTCTCCAGCACCTCGATCTCGGGAAAGCGCTTCCCGAGGTACTCCAGGAACACCTCCACCGAGTCGTCGCCCTTGATGGCGTCCAAGTCGAGCTCCTCGCACGCCTCCTCGGCCTTGCCCTTCAGGCTGGCCAGCAAGGTCGATCCCTGCTTGGGCGGCTTGACCTCGGTCCCGATCTGCCAGGTGGCGACCTCTCGGCGGTGCTTCTTCATGGTCTTACTCGTGCCATCGAAGACGGGTACGGGGATCTTGCCCCCGTTGCTTTTGTCCTCGCCGCCGGCTGCAGCGGCTCCTCCTGCCGTCGCCATGGTGGCGACCTCGAATGAGAGGTACAGTCGCAATCCAAAGCACGAGCCTGTAGTGCTTGCTAAATGACTCTGCGAAGTCGCGCACGTAGCTGCCGTGGTCGAGTTAGCTCCGCTACCAATGCAGACCCGATATTGCGATGGGGGGTCTGGGTGCGATGATAACCGCGAGGTTGTCGTTGTCAGCAATGACGGAAATATATCAGCAATATATCAGCAATGGTAGGCGATGGTAAGTTGCTTAGCGGCACGTGCAGAGGTGTCTACCGATACGCCCAAGCTCAAGGGCCCTTAAATGATTGAGCCAAAAAGATTACGAAAGGACACGTTACCTTCCGTCTGAATATTAGCACATTCTGCTTGCTTGCTGGCACGCTATGCTACACTGCTTACATATCAGCACTGACATTATTATTTCACACACACCCTACGCTGCTGGGGCTCGGCCCGATGGGCCCTGGCCGCGCGAGCGACCCGATCTCCTTCCCTGCGTCGTCGGGCAGCTTCTGCGCCGCGCGGGGGAGGCCCCGCGCGGCGTCGGCGAGGATGGCGCTGGCGAGGAGGGGGGGGCAGGGGAGGGGGGGGGGCGCAAACTCTGCTCGTCTCTCCTCGGCTGTTTTTCTCCGCCTCCACTCGGCCCTCCCCCCTCTCCCCGAGGGCGTCTCTCCCCAGGGTGCTCTCCTCGGCTGGCCCTCCATCTTCTCCTGCGCGCCCCCCTCTTCTCCTGGAGCACGTGGCGGTTTTTGCCAGCCTCGGTGGGAGACAGGCTCGGGGAAGGTTCGGCTTCAAGGCTCGAGGGTCGAGGCTTTCGGACGCTCTCGTCGGAATTCTCGCCTGTCTTCCAGCCTCGGGGTGCTCTCCAGCAGCTGCGCCTCGCCGAAAGCGTGCCGGGGGCTGCCCCCCGACCGTCCCGAGCGGCCGCCGGAGACCCGTGCTGTAGGCCCCGAGAGTCCGTCGTCCGTCGGCGTCGTCCGTCGGCGCCCGCCGGCGTGCCAAGCCCTGTCCGTTGCCGTCGTCGTCCTCGTCGTCGTCGTCGTCGTCGTCGTCGTCGTCGTCGTCCGCTGCTGGGCCTTCGCCTTTCTCCTGTGCGCTCCCTCGTCTCCTGGGCCTGTGCCCCTGTCCGCTCTGCTGTTGGGCCTGCGGGCGGGTGCGACGGCGCCGGGCGCGGCCTCCCTGGGCGGAGCCGCCCCGGGCCGCCGAGGGTCACCGAGGGCCCGGATCAGGGGCAGTTTCCAGTAATTTCAATCCTGGAGTGTTAAGATTGTATATTTCCTACCTAGGCTCTGCCTAGAAGGGTTCTTACTCGGTAAGCTTAAAGGGCCGGGCAGTGTAAAGCGCCCCGGGCGGTTCCCCCGGCATCCGCCCCGCGGTTCCCCCAGGATGCGCCCCGCGGTTCCCCCCGCCCTTGCTTGCTAAGCTAAACTAAGCTTAGCTGAGCTTAGCTTAGCTAAGCGTAGCTTAGCTTAGCTTAGCTTTGCCTAGCCTAACTTAGCTTAGCTTAGCTTAGCTTAGGTTAGTTTAGCTTACCTTTGCTCAGCTTAACTTAGCTTATCTTAGCCCAGCTTAGCTTAGCTTAGTTTAGCTTAGCGTATATCATATTATACCAGCTTAGCTCAGCATAGCTTATCTTACCTTAGCTTAGCTTAGCGCAGCGCAGCATAGCGCAGCGCAGTATTAGCACAGCATAGCATAGCTAAGCATATCATAGCATAGCATAGCATAGCATAGCATAGCTCAGCACATCATAACATAACATAGCATAGCATAGCATAGCGCAGCATCGCATAGCATAGCATAGCATTGCTTAGCATAGCACAACGCAGCATAACATAACATAGCATAGCACAGAACAGCACAGCATAGCATGGCATATCACAGCACAGCGTAGCATATCATACTATAGCTTCGCATGGCATATAATAGCGCAGCATAGCATATTATATCATAGCCTATCATAGCATGGCATAGCACATCATGTCATAGCATAGCATAGCATAGCGCAGCCTAGCATCGCATAACATGCTCTAGCATACCACAGCGCAGCCGAGCGTACCCTAGCATAGCACATCATATCATAGCGCAACATAGCGCAGCATAGCAAAGCATATCATATCATTTCATAGCATAGCGCAGCATAGCATATCATATCATATCATGTCATATCATATGTAGCTGTATATGTAGGTGTAGGTGTATATGTAGGTGTAGATGTAGATGTAGATGTGAGTCTCGCTGTTGATGTTGATATATATATGTAGATGCAGGCGTAGATGAAACTGTAGCTGTCGGTGTAGATGTAGATGATGCTTTCCTAAATGCTCCAACTCCTAGGTAGGGTCGCACTGGGATCATTTGTTACAGTATTATATGAATTATTCAGGGGCATCGTATTTGGGGGGAGACTGGCTCAGGGAAGGTTCGGCTTCAAGGTTTGAGGGTCGATGTTTTCGGACGTTCTCGATTGTTCTCTGGCCTCGGGAGGCTTCCAGCAGCTGCGCCTCGCCGAGTCTCGGCGAGGCGCAGCTGCTGGGATCGTCCCGATCCGGCGCCGGAGGGCTGAGCTATGGCCCGAAAGCCACAGGGCACGGGAACAGGCTCAGGCGGGGATGCATCGACCGCCAATGGCCATCTAACCGCCGCTCGGGCCCGATAGACCATCCCACCCAGGACCAGGCGGATGCGGTATCGGAGCCTAGCGCCGATCTGTCGGCGATGTATCGCCGATTCGAGCTCGACCACCTTTCGTTGCCCCTCAGCTCAGAGTTACGGCAGGGACGTTGAGTGAGAAGCTTGGCTTCCAGAGGATGCCACGTACATCGCAAGGGAAGCATCTTATCAATGACAAGCCGCCGTTCGGAGTCCGTCAGCGTGTTAACCTTCTGTTTTTTACATGGCCTGGTGCCTCGTCAATAGTGACACGCTGATGGCTTCCCCAAGGCGGCGTGTCACTGATATTGTTGTGCCTCCCCATTACCGGGGGCCTAGAGTTACGACAGGAGCGTCAAGTGGGGAGCTTGCCTTGCAGTGGGTATCCCACACAACGTGTCCCCGTCCCTGATGGCGCAGTCAACGCTGCGTAGGCTTCCGGGGCCGAGTCAACGAAATTATCGACGAGAGATGTGCTCCTTGATGTAGTTTGTGTATCGTACCTGATGAAACACATGCTCCTCGAAACGCATGAACCAACTCGGCAACCATTCTGGCTTAAGTTTTGCCTCAGCGCGACGCAAAACCAGCAGGTTGGACGGAACTCCGAGGCCACGCGTAGCCCGATGGACTGGCCCTTCACCGACAGCGAGTTTGGCGGCCACGCCGCGCCGCACGCTGCGATGCCGCCGGGCCGCTGGGCCGCGGGCCCCTGCCGCGCGTGGCCGGCCCATGCGCTGCCCACGGGCCAGCAGCGCTTCGTGCCGCCAGCCCCCCACAACCCGATGGACTGGCCAGATACCGGCAGCGAGTTCATGGACTGGCCCGACACCGACAGCGAGTTTGGCGGCCACGCCGCGCCGCACGCTTCGAGGCCGCGGGGCCGTTGGACCGAGGGCCCCGGCCGCGCGTGGCCGGCCCATACGCTGCCCACGGGCCAGCAGCGCTTCGTGCCGCCAGCCCCCCACAACCCGATGGACTCGACCGACACCAGCGGCGAGTTCATGGACTGGCCCGACACCGACACCGAGTTTGGCGGCCACGCCGCGCCGCACGCTGCGAAGCCGCCGGGCCGCTGGGCCGCGGGCCCCGGCCGCGCATGGGCGGTCCATGCGCTGCCCACGGGCCAGCAGCACTTCGTGACGCCAGCCCCCCGCAACCCGATGGACTGGCCAGATACCGGCAGCGAGTTCATGGACTGGCCCGACACCGACAGCGAGTTTGGCGGCCACGCCGCGCCGCACGCTTCGAGGCCGCGGGGCCGTTGGACCGAGGGCCCCGGCCGCGCGTGGCCGGCCCATACGCTGCCCACGGGCCAGCAGCGCTTCGTGCCGCCAGCCCCCCACAACCCGATGGACTCGACCGACACCAGCGGCGAGTTCATGGACTGGCCCGACACCGACACCGAGTTTGGCGGCCACGCCGCGCCGCACGCTGCGATGCCGCCGGGCCGCTGGGCCGCGGGCCCCGGCCGCGCATGGGCGGCCCATGCGCTGCCCACGGGCCAGCAGCACTTCGTGACGCCAGCCCCCCGCAACCCGATGGACTGGCCAGATACCGGCAGCGAGTTCATGGACTGGCCCGACACCGACAGCGAGTTTGGCGGCCACGCCGCGCCGCACGCTGCGAGGCCGCGGGGCCGCTGGGCCGCGGTCCCCTGCCGCGCGTGGCCGGCCCATGCGCTGCCCACGGGCCAGCAGCGCTTCGTGCCGCTAGCCCCCCTCAACCCGATGGACTCGACCGACACCAGCGGCGAGTTCATGGACTGGCCCGACACCGACAGCGAGTTTGGCGGCCACGCCGCGCCGCACGCTGCGAGGCCGCGGGGCCGTTGGACCGCGGGCCTGGGCCGCGCGTGGCCGGCCCATACGCTGCCCACGGGCCAGCAGCGCTTCGTGACGCCAGCCCCCCGCAACCCGATGGACTCGACCGACACCAGCAGCGAGTTCATGGGTTTGGCGACCACGCCGCGCCGCACGCTGCTAGGCCGCCAGGGCCTCTGGGCCGCGGGCCCTGGCCGCGCGCTGCCGACGGGCCAGCAGCACTTCGTGCCGCCAGCATCCCATAACCCGATGGACTGACTGGCCCGACACCGGCAGTGAGTTCATGGACTGGCCCGACACCGACAGCGAGTTTGGCGGCCACGCCGCGCGGCACGCTGCGAGGCCGCTGGGCTTCTGAGCCGCGGGACCCGGCCGCGCGTAGCCGGCCCGTGCGCTGGGCACGGGCCAGCAGCACTTCGTGACGCCAGACCCCCACAACCGGATGGATTGGCCCTTCACCGACAGCGAGTTTGGCGGCCACGCCGCGCCGCACGCTGAGAGGCCGGATCGCGGGCCTCTGTCGCGCTTAGCTGGCCCATGCGCTGCCCACGGGCCAGCAGCACTTCGCGCGCAGGCCCAGGGTTGGCAGACCTGGGGTGAATCTTCTTCTTGTTTTTCCCAACGAATCTTCTTCTTGTTTTTCCCAACCATCCTGTGGTGTTGGGTCCTCGTTTTGAAGAAACGGTCCCCGCGTTCTCCCCTCCTCCTCCTCTGCCCCCTCCCTCCTCCCCCTCCGCGTCAGCCACGCCCACTCCGGCACACCCCTCACACGATTCGTGGCCCCATAAGGAGCTCCACCGAGGGCTCCAGTGGCTGCGTTCGCATAGCGGCACCGCGCCCATTTCGGCACACCCCTCACACGTTTAGGGAGCTCCACCGAGGGCCCCAGTGGCTGCGTTCGCATGGCGGCACCGCACCCATTTCGGCACACCCCTCACACGTTTCGTGGCCCCATAGGGAGCTCCACCGAAGGCCCCAGTGGCTGCGTTCGCATGGCGGCACCGCACCCATTTCGGCACACCCCTCACACGTTTCGTGGCCCCATAGGGAGCTCCACCGAAGGCCCCAGTGGCTGCGTTCGCATGGCGGCACCGCACTCATTTCGGCACACCCCTCACACGTTTCGTGGCCCCATAGGGAGCCCACCGAGGGCTCCAGTGGCTGCGTTCGCATGGCGGCACCGCGCCCATTTCGGCACACCCCTCACACGTTTCGTGGCCGCATAGGGAGCTCCACCGAAGGCCCCAATGGCTGCGTTCGCATGGCGGCACCGCACCGGCACACCCCTCACACGTTTCGTGGCCCCATCGGAAGCTCCACCGAAGGCCCCAGTGGCTGCGTTCGCATGGCGGCACCGCACCCATTTCGGCACACCCCTCACACGTTTCGTGGCCCCATAGGGAGCTCCACCGAGGGCCCCCGTGGCTGCGTTCGCATGGCGGCACCGCACCCATTTCGGCACACCCCTCACACGTTTCGTGGCCCCATAGGGAGCCCCACCGAGGGCCCCAGTGGCTGCGTTCGCATGGCGGCACCGCACCCATTTCGGCACACCCCTCACACGTTTCGTGGCCCCATAGGGAGCTCCACCGAGGGCCCCAGTGGCTGCGTTCGCATGGCGGCACCGCACCCATTTCGGCACACCCCTCACACGTTCGTGGCCCATAGGGAGCTCCACCGAGGGCCCCAGTGGCTGCGTTCGCATGGCGGCACCGCGCCCATTTCGGCACACCCCTCACACGTTTCGTGGCCCCATAGGGAGCTCCACCAAGGGCTCCAATGGTGCGTTCCCATGGCGGCACCGCGCCCATTTCGGGACACCCCTCACACGTTTCGTGGCCCCACAGGGAGCCCCACCGAGGGCCCCAGTGGCTGCGTTCGCCTGGCGGCACCGCACCCATTTCGGCACACCCCTCACACGTTTCGTGGCCCCATAGGGAGCTCCACTGAAGGCCCCAGTGGCTGCGTTCGCATGGCGGCACCGCACCAATTTCGGCACACCCCTCACACGCTTCGTGGCCCCATAGGGAGCTCCACCGAGGGCCCCAGTGGCTGCGTTCGCATGGCGGCACCGCACCCATTTCGGCACACCCCTCACACGTTTCGTGGCCCCTTAGGGAGTTCCCTCTCATTCGTTCAACCTGCTTTGCGGTACTCGTAACTGCATATGGTTGGGTCCCTCGCCAGGATAATTTTTGCATGCCGCCAGAATGCAGGGGGTTCTGCCACACCAGCTTTCTCGTCTGCTTTACCAAGCAAGCACGCTTTTCAATTGCAGAATAGATTTTAAGCCACATGTAACTAGTTTCGATACAGGGACGTTCCGATGCACATTTGAATGCATTACATACTTATTCAAGCCACAAGCAGTGTGCCACGCCAGGGCCAGGCAAGCCGCACGGTCGCCGCAGGGCCGTTCCGATGCAGATTCGCATGCATTGCAGAATTTGCGTTCTGCATTGCAACTTGCTTGTTTTCTGCTGCGTTTGCACAGTTGAACATCTGTCTGAACATCTGCAGTGCAGAGCTTCTTCTCTCTTGTACCGCACTTGTTGTTCTCTGCGCGCGCGGTTCGTTCGGCCACGAACCGCCCCTGTGAGATATCGGGAGTGGCGCGGACATCATTTTGAACATGCTCCGTGTTGTGCAATTCGGAATTCGGCTTGAATCTTTCACACGCTCCCAGCAATGCGGCATTTGCTGCAGGATGAGGAGGAGGAGGAGGGCGATTCAGTGATTCCTGGGTGGACGTCTTGACAGGCACGCAGGCCTGTGCAGCGCTAAGTGGTGATGTTGATGGGGTGCCGCAGCCGAGAGCGAGGCCTGCCGCGCCGGTGCCGCGCCTGAAGTTGCGGCGCTTCGTCGGGTGAGGCTGCGCCGGGCCCTTCTCGCCCCCCGCGCTTAGCGGGCAGCGCTGGCCCTCTTTCGCGCCCCGAGGGCGAGCTTGGCTCGCCATCTCAGACGGCCACAGGCCGCGCCCCCCGCTGATCCCGATCCTGATTCGATGCTAGCACAGTCGGAAGCTCAGAAGCTGCGATGCTTGCTGGAAGTGAAAATCGTGACGACATTCTCCGCTCCTTTCGCGTCCTTCCTGGCCTCCTCGGTCAACCTCACCACGACGAAGCCACTGATAGGTTGCTGGACCATGTTGATATCGATGAATGGCGCAGACATTACGCATGTTTCGATTTCGCTGTTTTGCGGTCCATCTGGTTCACATCGGAGAGGTCCCGTGTACTTAATTGTCGGTGTGTTTTTTATTGGCCCTTGCTTGCTCTCCTCCTCCGCCTGCCCGTGCTCGTTCCCCCTCCTCTCCCAGGGCCCGCGGCGGCCGAGTCCGGCGGACGAGTCCCGCCCCGTTGGGGGCGCGTCGAGCGGGCGAAGCGGGTCGGTCGGGGGGGACATTCGAGCGTAGGGTGGGCGACGCGGGGCCCACGGGCACGGCGGGTCGGGCGGGCGGGGCATGACAGTGCGGGATCTTCATGCGCACGCGGTCGGGCGGAGCGGGGCCAGCGGGCGGGGCGTGTCGGGCGAGGCTCTGGAGAGAGCAGGGCTCTTCGCGGCGGGGCCCCGAGGAGAGCAGGAAACCTAGCAGAACTCTCTCTTGAGCGTGCTTGGGCGGAGCGGGGCCAGCGAGCGAGGCGGGTCGGTCGGCCAGACGGGACGTTCAAGTGTAGGGCCCTGGGTGATCAGCGTGTGGTCGGGCAGCGCGGGCCCGCGGGGCAGGGCGGAGCAGAGCCAACGAGCGAGGCGGTTCGGGCGGGCGGGGCATCCATGTGCGGAATCTCTGTCGCGGGTGGTCGATCGAGTCGGGTCAGGCGGGGCTGGCAGGTCCGGCGGGGGGGTTCTTGATTCGGAACGGTCGAAATGGTTACGGAAACAATTGGCACACAGTCCAACAGCAATTCCTGTTCATTCTGAGCAGACTTCGCTGTCGGCGTCGCCGCGGTCGTTGTACATAAGAGACAGAAGGCCGCCGACCCAACAGCGGCCGCTGTCGGTTTTGGATAACATCTGTTGTTGGGAATCGTACCCATCTCCTTCGTACCCATTTCGGCCGTCCAAATGGATGTGTGCGGCAGGATGTGCAATCACGAGCTGCAATGGCAACGATGCTCGGCTCGAGTGTCACTGCAGCTCGTGATGGGAAGGACGAGGAGGACCGTGCGGGGAAGCACCTTGCTGCCCTGCCTGCCCTGCTCGGCCCGAGCGCCCGACCCGGTGTGCCCGTCGGGGCCCGCCCGCCCCTGCGTGTCCTGCCTGCCTGAGCCGCCCACTGCGCCCCCCTGCCTGAAGGTTCACGCGTGCAGACCTCGGTGCGCCTCGCGCTGTGCCGTCCCGCCTGCCCGCCCGACGCTGCCGACCGGCGGCGCGGGGAGGCGCCCCCCCCCCCCCCCCCTGCCGGAGGTGTCGCAGAGCTGCTCTGCCCCGGGGCTCTGGGGTCGGCGGGCGTAGCTAGAGAGTGCTGGGCCCCAGAGGTGCAGCGCCCACGGGAGAGAGCCACGCCACCACCACCACCACCACCACCACAGGTTGGATGAGGGGGCGGAGGGGGAGGAGGAGGAGGAGGAGGAGGAGGAGGAGGAGGAGGAGGAGGAGGAGGAGGAGGAGGAGGAGGACTCCCTCCCCCTCCAACTTTGGTGGTGGTGGTGGTGGTGGTGGAGCAAGCCCCTACTCCCCCGCACCCCAGGGAGCAACGCGAGTCCCAGCACCGCCCTGCCCGACCGCGCGCGCAAGGGCACCCCGCACCCCCCAACGACGGATCGCGTGGAGCGGCCGCCCTCTTTGGGGGAGGGGGTCGACGGCGGGCCCCCAAGGTCGCCGCGTCTTTGCCTCCGGCGTCGCCGGCGAGCGGCTGGGAGCTGGGCTCCGGGTCTCTGTTTTCAGTCAGGCCTGTCCCCCTACAGGGGGATTTGTGAGGAAAGATGAAAAGCGGTAAGAACAGATTCCCAAGTGGTGAAACAATAGTCAAACAATAGTCTCCAGACTATGTTTTGGACCATGTTAGAATCTTCCTCCTGTAGAGGGACAGGCCCGACGTAAGTCTGGGTGTTCTCTCTGGGGCCTCCGGGAGCCCGGGCGGAGCGCATCCGGGGGATGGGTGGAGTCCAGGGCTTACCTGCCTCGGTACGCCCGTTTTGATACGCAACACGTGCCGTGCTCAAGACGTCCGTATCAATACGCTGCGTGTTGGCTCGGTGTATTGGCCCACGTTTTGGCGAACATATCGCGTCACACCTACGTTTTCAGCCTACGTGTCGAGTTCCGTGTCAGTACGCTACGTGATGCGTGCTGCGTGTCGGGGCAGCTAAGGTCCAGGGCGCTGCCGACGAGGTTGGCTAGGCTCGACAAGGGCCCCCCAGGGAGCAACCAACACTGACCTTCGTTCTGCACCCCGTGGGAATCCTTCCCCTCCTCGTGCTCATCCTTCTCTCCCCTCCTTCCTTTCTCCCTGTTCGTTGATCCTCCCTCCTCTTGCTCTTGTGGCCAGGTATACCCGGATCAATTCGAGATCTGAGCCACTTCGTTTAGACAGCGAATGTAGCTTGCACCTCCTTTGGCAAGTCCAGAGGCAGCATTCAGAGCCTCAGAGGTACGTGCAGTGTTTAGAGCCTCGACCTCGTTCGGTTGCCAGCTCCCCGTTTCTCTCGTCCCACTTTCGGGAGTGAAGCCAGTCGGAAGCCTGTCAGCGCGTTACTCTTCCGTCTTTGCCCAGAAGCTTGGCGTTGCTTCAACAGCAGCACGCTGATAGCTTCCCTGTGACGACGTGTCAATATCGGAGGTGAGGGGGTGAGATCGAAGTGGAACGGAGAGCCCCCCTACTGGGAAATCGGTTTCGGTTTCGTGTTCGTGCGTGCCGTGCGTGCGGGCGAGGCGAAGCTGCGTGGGCGGGCGAGAAGAAAATCTCCTCCGGCTGAGGCGCGGCCGGACCAAATGATTCCTCTCCGGGGGCCGGTGCCGCGCGGTGTTCCGCCGGCGTCCCGCCTCCGGCTGAGGCGCGGCCGGACCAAATGTTTCGGTTCCGCGCGGTGTCCCGCCGGTGTCCCGCCGGTGTCCCGTCGGTGTTCCGATGATGATGATGATGATGATGATGATGATGATGATGATGATGATGATGATGATGTCGACGCTGTTGACGATGATGATGATGATGATGATTATGATGATGGTGATGTTGACGATGATGATGATGATGATGATGATGATGATGATGATGATGATGGTGATGGTCGTGATGATGATGGTGTCCCGATGATGATGATGATGATGATGATGATGATGATGATGATGATGATGATGATTATGATGTTGCTGATTATGATGGTGTCCCGATGATGTTGATGACATGGTGACGATGATGATGATGATGATGATGATGATGATGATGGTGTCCCGATGATGGTGATGATGATGATGATGATGATGATGAGGTGATTATGATGCTGCTGATGATGGTGATGATGATGATGATGTTATCCCGATGATGGTGATGATGATGTTGATGATGATGACGATGAGGGTGTCCCGAGGATGATGATGTTGATGATGAGGATGGTGATGAGGTGATGGTGATGATGATGTGTTTCATGATGGTGGCCCGATGATGGTGATGATGATGATGCTGATGTTGATGATGATGATGATGGTGTCCCGATGCTGATTGTGACGATGATGGTGTCCCGATGATGATGTTGTTCCGATGATGATGATGTTGCTGATGATGACGATGGTGTCCCGATGATGGTGACTTTGATGAGATTGTGCATGATGATGATGGGATGTTGATGCAGATGATGATGGTATTGCTCCGATGCTGATGATGATGGTGTCTCGATGGTGATGATGTTGATGATGCTGATGCTGATGATGATGATGGTGTCCCGATGATAACGGTGATGGTGATGATTATGATGATGATGGCGATGAGGTGATGATGCTGATGATGGTGTCCCGATGATGATGATGCTGATGATGATGAATATGATGATGTTGATAATGATGATGATGATGATGATGATGATGATGATGATGATGTTGATGTTGAAGACGTTGATGACGACGATGTTGATGATGATGATGATGACGTTGATTGTGGGAGCGATTGTGATATCGATAGTGAGATCGATAGGGAGACCGAATGTGAGATCGATTGTGAGATCGATCGTCAAATCGATAGTGAGATCGATTGTGAGATCGATCGTCAGATCGATTGTGAGATCGATCGAATGAAATAGATCGAGTGAGATCGATCGAGTGAGATCGATCGAGCGAGACCGATAGTGAGATCGATAGTGAGATCGATAGTGAGACCGATCGAGTGAGACGTTGGTTCCTCCCCCCCCGAACCCTTATCACCCGAAGGGTGGTCGTATAGGTAAGTTTATCGCGTTTCCGCACTTCCTGCTTCTGCTCGACATCATTCTCTCCATCTCCTCGGCAGTCGTATTCGCACTTCGTTCCCGTCCATTTCTTGAGGCTGTTGCTGTCTCCCCCGATCCTCCCCGACCTCCCCATAAGCTGCATTGAACCTCCGGCGCCCTCTTTGCCACAACCTCGAGGATGCCCTCACCCCTCCATAGCTCCCCTTCTACATTCATCCCAACGCCGCGTGCTGCAAGCATACGGGTCGCGCGCCCACGGGATCGAGCCTCGGAGTTCAGGCCGCGAGGGGACGGACATGGATCTGTCCGTCGCTCGTGGCGCCGCCTGTCGCCACGAGCTGCCGTCCCGCCGTCGGCCCCCGTCCCCCCGCCCTCCCCGGCACGAGGTGGACCCGCACGAGCGGCGCGTCGACCCCGAGAGCGGCGAGGAGTTCAGCCTCGCGGAGCTCCTTGTGGCGTATGCCGGGCTCTACACCGACGCCGAGATCAGGACGCAGGGGGGGGGCTCGGCGAACGTCCCCCTCCACCACCACCTCCACCTCGTGCCCTTGCCCTCCTCCGCTGCCCCCTCCTCCTCCTTGCTCACCCCCCCCCCCCTCCTGCGGCATCTGGCCCTGCTGGGCCACCTGGGGCAGGGCCGTCAAGCTGGCGGGCACCTCGCCCTGCTTGCCTCCTTGCTCGGCGACCTGCGGCAAGGATGTCAGAGACAGCCCCTTCCATCGAGCCCGTTTCGACGTGATTTGTACGTTGCTCCCCCACAAACTGGCAGCTTACCCCGCAGTGCACAGCGATTCTTCAGACTCTGCTTGTGCAGGGGTGGTGGGCGGAGTCCAAGCTGTCTGGGTTGGGCTACCAAGTGCTATGTATGCCCCCACTGTGGGGCGGCGGGTGATACGGTTTACCACTTGCTGTATCCTTGCCAGTGTCCAGAGGTATCCGCCCTACCCGACGACGTTCTGGCTCTGTGTTGCCCTCGACGCGCCAGAGGACAGCGCGCTCTTTTGCTTCGGAGTCTTTGAGCACTTTGGTGAGCAGCAAGAGCGGTTTCTGTTGCCCTTGAAGGCCCCCGAGGTCAACGAAGGCACAAGGGCTTCCAGATTCAGATCATGGTTTTGGCAATCAAGCTGGATTTGTTGGGCAGACATGTGCACTGTTGGTGCAATGTTGGTGGTACTACACGGCCGCCAGGGCGCGCGAGAGACAGGCGTGCAGGCCGCGTTGCACTGTCTTCAGGAAGGGCCCCAACCGCATCCACGTCTCGCATCCAACGAATAGTAGTTGACAACGTGCGTGGATCTCTGGATACAGTGGCCTAGTTGAACTAGGCTCGCCGGATGTCGCCGCCCCTCCTGCGCTGGTGGTCGAGGATTTCCCTGCCGACGTGCCAGAACCACTCCTCTGCCCTCGTGCTCCTGCCCTCGTGCTCCTTGGCCCCGGCTTCTGGCGATATCCGGGATCGACGGACAGCGGCACAGGGCATAGCTCAGCGCACAGTGGTCGACGCCGCACCACGGACATCTTGGCTCAGTGGCGCCCCTGGTCATCACGCTGTAATTGGCCGGGCTGATCACTGCACCCGCGAGGATCTTGCGTGCTTTATCGGTGTCAGTATTCTAGATGTCTCCTGAATGGCCAGTTGCGCGCTAGGGTCCTTCCACCTTTCCTGTGCTGCAGAGGCAGTGGGCGAGTTGCCCAGGATGCATCCAATTGTCGTCGGTGCAAGCACGGAGAAGCAAGCCTCGGTGCCAGCATGCACCCATGTCCAGGGCAGGCTTCCATCCTCTCCACCGCAAGTGGCTGTTGAGGGCCCCCGGCATTCCACTCTTCGTCGGCGGTAGGCGGGAGATGTCTCCGCACTCCTGCTTCCTCCGGGCGCGGGCACTTGCAGTCACGGCCGCCTGTTGGCACCAGTTCTTCACGTCTGACCAGTGGCCCATGACGAGTGTGCGTAGTTCCACGGCGGCCTTTATCGGCATGTCGGCAGCCCAGAAAATAAGCTTCTGCAGGTGGCCAAACCAGGCAGCAGTGGGGACGGACTCATGTCATCCGTACTCGGCCTTGCTGATCACCGCAGACTCGATGATTCTCTGTTTGAGGAGGGATTCGTGTGGCAGCGAGCCCGCGCGCCGGGCCAAGGCGGCAGCCGCCGCCCACCTCGCTGCCTCATGTTTCGTCTCTGGTCTCCGCTGGCCGCCTGTGATGTTGGCGCCGAGCACGACGAGGTAGTCCTTGACGCGCTCAGGGTCGATGTCTGGCTGGGCGGCCAGTCGTGGGCGCCCTGTGGATCCTGGCATTCTCACACATGCCCAGGGCGCCCCCCCCAAGCGCGCCACAACCGTGCAGCGCCGATGACGTCCTGCAGGCTGTGGCTCTCCCAGGTGCGGTCGTCCACGAAGAGCTGGTGCGCCACGGTGGGGAACGTGGCCTTCACCCCTTCACCTCGCAGCGCCCCCAGCAACACGGCGCCGAGGCACATCGGGCCCCGTGGGTTCCCCAGGGAGATTCTCGTGCTCACGTGCTGTGCCTGTGGGTTCACGCACCCGCCCAGGAAGAGGTGCCTGCGCTGGTCGCTCCAGATGTCTGTAAGGGTGCCGACAATCGGGCCTGGCCTGCCGAGCAAGTCCAGGGCCTCCTGCACGAGGGGAGGGGTGCAGCGTGTCGAAGGCGAGGGAGTAGTCCCAGGACGTGCAGTGGGCGCCCGTGGCGGCCTCGGCGGACAGCTCCGCGAGGGCGTTGTGCACTTCTTTCCCGGCCTTTGCACCCCCCGTGTCTTCATCCCACCACGGGTTGAGCCATCTTTTGCAGCACGGGGACTTCATCCTCGCGCTCGCCCATGCTCGCCCGTGCCCTATACCACGTCGACCCCACCCAGATGGGTCGAGCGGCTTCCACGTCGAGGAAGTTTCCCGTGACGTCAGCCTCTTCTTTTGGGAGGTGTGTTTGCCAGAATCCTCGCCGCAATGTAGGCGCCACCCCCAGCGTTTCGAAGGCAACGTACAATGAGGTGAAATATTATGCGGAGAACTTTTCCGAAAAGAGTTTGTCCTCCGTTCAGTCGTCGGGCCTGGCTGCCTTCCCACGCTGTGCCGACATCGCGCTCCAGACCTCTCTACGGTCTAGCTGATACCATGGCTGTTTCTGGAGGTTCGGGACCGACTCCTGCAGGCGGCGGCGGGCGGCGCGCAGGTCTGGCAGTTGGCGGTTCTGCACTTTGCGCCACCGCTTGGCCTGGCCTTGCATGGGTCGCGAGGCAGCCTTCAGCGACAGCGCGATGCCAAAATTAACCTCGTCTGGACATCCAGAGCGACAGCGCGGCGCCTGAATAAGTTGCGAGGACTTCCTCAGCGACATCGCGATTCCTGAGCGTCGGGAGTGCGACGCCGGAACAGATTGCGCGGACGTATCAGGCGCAAGCGCGATTCTTCGATACATTGTCAGGAAGTCCCCAGCGAAAGCGCGATTCCCCAATAAGTTGCAAGGAAGTGTCAGGCGGGAGCAGTTGCTGTTGTTGTAAACTGGGCGCCAGGGCCACTGTTTGATCAGGAAGATTTTCCCCAGTACAAGCAGGGCGAGGCTCGGGAGGGGCACTTCGATTGAAACAGAAAGTTCGGTATGTCACGCGAGTGCGTGAGTCTCGCATAATTCGCCAGGATGTCTGAGGCGAGAGCGCGATTGCTAAGTAGCGTATCAGGAAGTCCCAAGCGAGAGTGCAATTCCTGAATGGCGACAGCGTGGCGCTTGAATGGATTGCGAGGAAGTCACAGGCGAGAGAACGATTCTTGGATAAATTGTTGACGTTTGATTGTTTGACTGGACTCTTCTGCCACGCTGGCGACGTTCATCCCCGCCAGACTGGCCTGTCACACTCAGTGCGACGCTCACCACGCTTTGACAGCGGGTGACTGGGGCCAGGCCCTCATGGTTCGCCACAGGGCTGGCGCCCCACGTGCTCGGAATGGTGGGCCCCGGGAGCCCCGTGCTCGCTTCCGGAGTGGTTCAGCCTTCCGTCAGACGCTGCGTTTCCCTTTGGGCCCGTCCCAGCCATTCAGGCAGGTCTTCGACGTCACCTCGGCAGCTTAGCCCACCTGGCTTGCATACACCGTTGGTACGGACCTGGACTTGGCGCCCCGCTGGCGACTCGTTCATCGTTCACCTCGCCTTTGCGACCTCCCGGCGTGTGAGGCGTGTAGGCATCTACTCGCTTACGTCCTCGCGCTCACTGAGTGGTTCACGCCGCAGGGCGTACATTGAATTTTCTGGCATTTTGTCAGACTGTACGCTGCCCGAGCTTCCCTAGGTGCCCTCAGCCTGTCAGCCCTCGCCGCGCGGCTCAGCAGCTGCCTTGTGAGCTGGCCCGGCCGGCCTGCTTCGCGCCTAGTAGCTAATTAGGCTTGTTTCCGCGCCCCGGACAGCTTCTGACTCCGCCTGCGCCTTCGCTCGCGGACGCGACCGAAAAGAATCCCCACCAGCCCATCCAGAAACGATGCCCAGAGGAATTGCCTCGATCAGGGAAGTGGGCAGCACACAGAGGAAGCCATTATGATACATCTTGGGATATCTTGAGCCATGTTGGAGGTCATCTTGGGCTCCCCCAGGCGCTTTTGGAGTCATCTTAATCAGTGCCCCCCCCAAAGAGGCCAACATGTGGCTAACACTTTCGAAAAATCAATGATTTGGCATTCGCGCCAAGGCTTCTTGGAGCATCATGGGTGCCTCTGGGGGGGCTCTTGGGGCTTCGTGGGGGTCTCTTGGGAGCCTCTTGGGGGCATCCTGGGGGCCTCTTGGGGCTTCCTGGCCATCTCTTGGGGCCCTCTTGGGGTACCCTTGGGAGCCTGGGGGGCATCTTTGGGCCATCTTGGGTGAGATCGGTCGGTCACAGGAGGGGGGGGGGGACTACTTAGTGTCCCCCCCCCAGGAGGCCAAAATGGGGCCCACACCATAGTAAAACCAATGATTTGGGCTTCCTCGCCGAGGCCGTTTTGGACGCTCCGACACCTCGCGGTACCCTGTGTCCAGGTCCAGGGGAGGGGGTAGGGGGAGGGGTAAGCCCCTCCCAGAAGGGCAAGAAGGGGGGGTGGAAGAGGAAACGTTCTAAACCACCGACGCCCAAAGGGTTGGTGGGAGGGCCACGAAGTCCCAAGCGAAAACGCGATTCCCCAATTCATTGCGAGGAAGTGTCAGGCGGGAGCCGTTGTTGTTGTAGTCCTGGGGCCAGGAGGGCAGTTTGAAGAGGAATATTCTCCCTGATACAATCTCTCCGACTGTAGGAGCCCACGCGAGAATCTACTCAGTTTGTCCCTCGCCCTTTTCGTCTTCGACTGGTGGAGGCCTCCCTTCCGCCCTTTGCGCCTTCCTCCTCCTCCTCCTCCTTCTCCTCCTCCTCCTCCTTCCCCTCCTCGTGTTCACTCTCGTCCTACTCGTTGCATGTCTTATCCTCTTGCTCTTCCGCCTCCTCCTTCTCCTTCTTTTCCTCCTCGTCCTCCGCCTCCTCCTCCCCCTCCCCTCTTCGTCTTCTTCCTGCTCGTCGTCCTGTTCTTCCTCCTCCTTCCCCCCCCCCCCCCGTTTCCCTTCATTTCCGCCCCGCCGATTTTCTTCGTGCGCCTTTCCTTCTTCCTGGCAGGAGCGCGCGCGTCGGTGTTTTTCGGCGCCGTCGCCGCCTCGGCAAACACGGGCGCATTATCTAATGGTTACATCGCGCAGCCGTCGGGACAACCCCGCGGGCCAGGCCGTCGGGGCAACCGCTTGAGGCTTCCGCTTGCGACTTCCGCCATACCCAGGCTTGAAGAAGCCAAACATGACGACAGTTACAGGATGACGACACGCTCGGATTACTCACGTGAGCCGCGGGCCCCATAGGGAGGGGGCGCCCGCCTGAGACTTCCTCGCGATCCACTGACAGACGAGGCTCCCGCCTGAGACTTCTGCCATATTCAAGCTTGAAGAAGCCAACATGATGACATGTACAGGATTCCGACGACCCGCTCTGATTATTTACATGATCGGCGGGCCTCATCTGGAAAGGGGCTCCCGCCTGAGACTTCCTCGCAATCCACTCACAAACGAGGCTCGCGCCTGACACTTCTTCCATATTCATGCTTCAGGAGACCAGATGCGACGACAATTACCAGATTCCGATGACCCGATCGGATTCGTAACGTGATCTGCGGGCCCCACAGGGAGGGGGTTCCAGTCGGATACGTTCTCACAATCCATTCAAAGACGAAGCTCCCGCCTAACTTTTCCTCCATATTCATTCTTCAGGAGCCCGAGCGCGAAGACAATTACAGGGTTTCAGGGACCCGCTCGGATTAGTGACATGATCTGCGGGCCCCATGGGGAGGGGGCTCCCGCGTGAGACGTCCTCGCAATTCACTCACAGACGAGGTTCCCGCCTGAGACCTCCAAAGTAATGCTTCAGGAGCCCAACAGCGACGACAGGTATAGGATTCCGATGGCCCGCCCGGATTCGTAACATCATCTGCGGACCCCATTGGGGGGAGGGTCCCGCTTAAGACGCCTTCGCGATTCAGCCACAGTCACAGACGAGGCTCCCGCTTGAGTTTTCCTCCATACTTATGCTTCAGTGCGCAAGCGTGACGACAGTTATGGGATGCCGATGACCCGCTCGGATTAGTAACGTGATCTGCGGGCCCCACAAGGAGGGGGCTCCCGCCGGAGACTTCCCCGCAAGTCGCTCATTGACGATGCTCTCGCCTGAGACTTTTTCCATATCCATGCCTCACGAGCCCAAACGCGACGAAAGTTTTAGGATTCCGATGGCCCGTTCGGATTAATAACATGACCTGCGGGCCCCATAGGGAGGGGGTTCCCGCGTGAAACGTTCTTCGCAATTCGCCCACAGACGAGGCTCCCGCCTGAGACTTCCTCCATGCTTTTCCTTCAGGAACCCAGAAATGACGACAGGTACAGGATGCCGATGGCCCGCTCGGCTTAATGATGTGATCTGCGGGTTCCATAGGGAGGCGGTTCCAGCGTGAGACGGCCTCGCGATTCAGTCACAACCGAGGCTCCCGCTTGGGTGGGTAGGTTGGTGAGTGAGTGAGAGGGCGAGTGAGTGAGTGATGATGATGAGTGTGTACATGAGTGAAAGTGCGAGTGATGACGACGATCGTGATGATAGTGTGCGTGAGTGGGTGAATGAGAGTGTGAGTGATGATGGTGTGTGCGAGTGATTGAGTCAGTATGCGAAGGGAGGGGAGAGAGAGAGAGAGAGAGGGAGAGGGGGGCTGGGTGTTCTCTGGTTTCTGCGAGGGGTGTCTCGAGAAAACAAGAACGTGGTGAAAAACAAGGTGCGAGCCCGAGGAGGGGCACTTCAATTAAAAAACACATGTTACCGGAGGGGGGGGATCAACAATAATCATTCGTCATTAGTGAGAGTTCAACACAGCAACAATCCGCACCGCAGAACCTCACTTCAGCCACGCGCCCAGGGACAGTGAATGACCGTTCGGCCCCCTCACTCTGATGTTTATGCAGTTTTGTTGTTCCTCCATCCGCCCAGGTGAGATCTGGAGGAGGCTGAAAGGGGCATCCGCGGTACGGATTATTGCTGACTTCGGCGGGCTTCTTCGAATTTGCTTCCGAGCCTTGCAGACTGCCGACGAACCCGCCACCCCTTTACTCTTCTCCGCAAGTGCGGGGGCCATAGAGTCAGTAGCTTCGTTTCAGCGTGTCGCTCCGCCAGTTTTGGCCTATCACGCTTCGGTGCGACACGCCAATTATCCACGTCCGTGTCACCGATTGTCAACTGCCCGACCTTTCCCAGCCTCCCGCCCCGCGGACTGGAGCGACACGCCATCCGCTCACAGGGCATAGCATGTCGCCGGGGCCGCCGACGCGACTCTTGAACCAATAGTTCCCAACCGTAGCACCTTTGCTCCCTGGAAGGGAGGAGGGAGTGGACCAGGAGGGAAGACATACAACGACTCACACAAGCGCCGATTCCCAGGAAAGTAATAGTAGATTTTGGAAGTGGAGGGGAAGACGAAAGTCCATAAGATATGACAAGTAGGAGGAATCCTGGACTAGGTGTCTATCTGTTTGTGGCTCCCTGGGCCCCCTCTTGCAGTGGAGGGGAAGTGCGCTGCTGCTGCGGGGTCCGATGCGCCGCCGCTGCGCCGCGAGGGCCTACTGGAGGGACGCCTGCTTCGAGCCGGTGCCCCCGGAGCCGAGGCCGCCTGAGGGCGGTGTTGAGGCCCCGCCCTGCCACGCGCAGAGGGAGGTACAGAGGGGGAGGGGGGAAGGCATCTGAGAAGCACCCCTGCTTCTCAGAAGGCGCGGGCCTTGTTTGTAGATGCAGGACAGGCGCCTTCTAAGAAGCAGCCTCCTTCTAAGAAGCCGTCCCCCCTCCCCCTACGCCCTTGTCCGCGTCGCCAACCCGCAGCGCACCAGTCGTTTTCGTAGTTCCTATCGTGGCCGTCGTCGTTTTCATCGTCGTCTCCAAGTCCTTGTCGCCGTTGTCGTCGTCGTTGTCGTCGTCGTCTTCATCGTCGTCGTGATCGTTGTCGTCGTCGTCGTCGTCGTGGTCGCCGCCGTCGTCGTGGTCGCCGCCGTCGTCGTCTCCAAGTCCTCGTCGTCGTCGTCGTCGCCGTCCAAGCGGCGGGGGATCCGAAGAGGAGTCTATTCTCATCAGAGCACGGGCGGGCGAATCGTCATTTAATTGCTGTCCCTTGGTGCGTTGGTGAAGTGGGCTTCCGCGCTGCTGCTGCGGCTGTTGAACTCACGACTGAAGAATAAGTATTGTTGATCCCCCTCCGGTGACCACTGTTTTTTCAGTTGAATTCCCTCTGGGGCTCGCACCCAGTCCTTTCTCAATGTTTTGTATGTATAAAAACAGGTAGAGTCACTACATAGGCTCAAACTGCGCCCGTGGCCCCCGGATCACAACAACAACGGCTCCCGCCTGAGACTTCATCGAAATTTACTGAGGCATCGCGCTCTCGCTAGGGACTTCCAGGCAATGTATCAAAAGTCGTGCTCTCGCCTGGAATCGCTCTCTCGGCGCTCTGGAGTCGCGCTCTCGCTGGAGATTTGCTTGCAATGTACTCAAGAATCGCGCGCTTGCTTTGGAATTTCCCGCAATTCACTCAAGCGCTGCGCTCCCGACATTCAGGCACCCAGGAGTCGCGCTCACGCTTGGGACTCCCTCACAGCGTACTTAGGACTCGGGATCTCGCTGCCCTTCGTGGCCCCGTTGCAGCCCTTCGTGGCCCCCTCGCTGCCCTTCGTGGACCCATTGCAGCCCTTCGTGGCCCCCTCGGTGCCCTTCGTGGCCCCGTTGCAGCCCTTCGCGGCCACGTTCCAGCCCTCCGTGGCCCTCTAGCTGCCCTCCGTGGCCCCGTTGCAGCCCTTCGTGCCCCCCTTGCTGCCCTTCGTGGCCCCCTTGCAGCCCTTCGTGGCCCACTCGCTGCCCTTCGTGGCCCCGTTGCCGCCCTTCGTGGCCCCCTCGCTGCCCCTCGTGGCCCCGTTGCAGCCCTTCGTGGCCTTCGTGGCCCCGTTGCAGCCCTTCGTGGCCCCCTCGCTGCCCTCCGTGCCCCCGTTGCAGCCCTTCGTGGCCCCCTCGCTGCCCTTCGTGGCCACATGTATGTATGCCCTTCGTGGCTCCCGCTCGTTCGCGCCCGCCGTGGCCCTCTCGCTGTTCTTCGTGGCCCCGCTGTCGCCCTTCGTGGCCCCCTTGCTGCCCTTCTTGGCCCCGTTGTTGCCCTCAGTGGCCCTGTCGTTGCCCTCTGTGGCCCTGCATTATCTGCCCTTCGTGGCCCCCGCTCGTTCGCGCCCGTCGTGGCCCCATATGCATGTCCTTCGAGGCCCCGCTGTCGCCCTTTGTGGCCCCCTCGCTCCCCTACGTGGCCCCGTTGTTACCCTCAGTGGCCCCGTTGTTGCCTTCTGTGGCCCGGCATTATCTGCCCTTCGTGCCCCCCGCTCGTTCGCGCCCTTCGTGGCCCCATACGCATGATCTTCGTGGCCCCGCTGTCGCCCTTCGTGGCCCCATTCCTGCCCTTCGTGGCCACGCTGTCGCTCTCCCTCTCGCTCGCGCTCTCGCTTTCGCTCGTCGTCGTCGCTGTCGTCGCCGTCGTCGTCGTCGTCGTCGTCGTCGTCGCGGTCGGTCCCCCGTCCGTTCATTTTGGGTTCGGTCTGCCGCCGATCAGCGTTGCCGTTGGCCAGGCCGACGATCCGCGGCCGCCCCGCCGCTGGCGGGGGCCCAGCCTGCTGGGAAGACAGATATACCCCCCAAAAGGGGTACGATCGAAGACCGAGAGGGCGGACATCAAGGGTTTGGGAAATACGCGTTGATTGACAAACGAGTTTATAAGAGCGATCAGTCTTAAACTGATGTTGTTGTTGTTGCTGGTGTTGGTGTTGCAACTGTCGTTTTTCGTAGTCGACGCAGTAGCAGCAGTAGTAGTAGTAGTAGTAGTAGTAGTAGTAGTCGTAGTAGAAGTAGCAGTCGTAATAGTAGCCGTCGTCGTAGCAGTAGCAGTAGTAGCCGTAGCCGTAGCCGTAGCCGTAGTAGTAGTAGTAGTAGTAGTAGTAGTAGTAGTAGTAGTAGTAGTAGTAGTGGTAGTAGTAGTAGTAGTAGTAGTAGTAGTAGTAGTCGTAGTCGTAGTCGTAGTAGTCGTAGTAGTAGTCGTAGTAGTAGTAGTAGTAGTAGTAGCAGTAGTAGTAGTAGTAGTAGTAGTAGTAGTAGAAGTAGTAGTAGTCGTAGTAGTAGTAGTAGTAGTAGTAGTAGTCGTAGTCGTAGTCGTAGTCGTAATCGTAGTCGTAGCCCTAGTACTATGAATGATGATAGTAGGCGTTGTTGTAGAAGCCGTGCTAGTAGCAGCAGTAGTAGTAGTAGTAGTCGTCGTAGTGGTAGTAGTAGTAGTAGTAGTAGTAGTAGTCGTAGTCGTAGTGGTAGTAGTTGTAGTAGTAGTAGTAGTGGTAGTCGTAGTCGTAGTCGTCGTCGTTGTCGTCGTAGTAGTAGTAGTCGTAGCAGTTGTTGTAGTAGAAGTAGTAGTAGTAGCAGTATGCTTAGTGGCAGTAGTAGTAGTAGTAGTAGGAGTAATAGTAGTCGTAGTAGTAGTAGTAGCAGCAGCAGGAGTAGTAGTAGTAGTAGTAGTAGTAGTAGTATTAGTAGTAGTCGTCTTGGTCGTAGTCGTAGTAGTATTAACAGTAGTAGTAGTAGTAGCAGTAGTAGTAGTAGTAGTAGTCGTAGTAGTAGTAGGTGTTGTTGTAGATGCTGTTAATATTATTTTGTTGATTCTGCTGTTGTTATTGTTGTTGCTGTTGCTGGTTGTTGTTGTTGTTACTGTTGTTGCTGATGTTGCAGCTGTTGTTGTTGATGCTGTTGATGCTGTTAATGTTGTTGTTGTGTGTGTTGTGATTGTTGTTCCTGCTGCTGCTGTTGAACTCGCTCTCGAAGGATAACTATTGTTGATGTCCCCCACCGGTGCGCATGGTATTTTTCAATGTGCCCCCCTCGAACCCATAGGGAAAGTCTTCGTGCTTAAACTGGGCCCCTGGCCCCACGGCTACAACAGCAACGGCTCCCGCCTGATACTTCCTCACAACAAATCGAGCTCTCGCGCGGGACATCCTCACAACATATACAGGAATCGCGCTCTCGCGTGGGACTTCTTCACAATTTATTCGGACGCCGAGCCCTCGACAGTCAGGAATCGCGCTCTGGCTCTGGCCTTGTTCACGATCCACTTGGGGATCGCGCTATCGCTCGCGACTTCCTTGCGATTCAGGCAGGACTCACGCTTCAGCAACCCGCTTGCTCGACCTGGCCGCCTGTTCTTGACCCGCCCGTTATGGTCTGCCCGCCCGATCTGCCCGTTTGGTTCCACCACGTGTTTTCTGCTCCTAGCCCCCCTCCTGCTAATTTCTATCGTGTTCCATCCTTTTCCCTTTCCCTTTCATCCGTCCTCTCCCCTGTTCTAGGGGCTGCGCTAAATTCACGTGGAGGGTAAGAAAGATATACCCGCAAGGGGGTACCATCGAAGAAGAAGAAGAGGGCGGGTACCGAGGGTGTGGGATATACGTGTTGAATGGCACTCGAGCAGATCGGAGCGAACATTGCTATTGTTTCGGTTGTTGTTGTGGTTGTTGTTGGTATTGTTGGACTCTCACTTCTACAACATATTTGTTGTCGCCCCCCCCTCTAGCGCACCTCCCATATCTTTCCATTTAAAGTGCCCCTCCTAGGGCTCGCACCCGGCTTTCACTCAGGGCGAATCTTGATCTTCAAGTTGTGAGTTGTCAATAGTTGCATTGTTCGCGCAATCACCCCAACATCTTTGCCCCAATTTGTTTCGCGAAACCCATGCGGCCACGATTGCGGTTGCCGACAGGCACTTGCTAGCACATCTTTGTGGCCGCGTTAGCGCGTTAACGCTCGCGCGCTTGCACGAAGATTATCTGATTTGGCACTAGTGATGCGGCTGCGGTCGCGCTTACTGGTGGGAGTTACTCAGCGCGTCTCAAAGGCCGCGATGACGCGCGGCCATTTCCGTGTAGGTGGCTCGGGCGGGCGCGACATTATCATGACGTAGTGGTGGTGGTCGCGATGGTGGCGGCGATGATGACGATGACGACGGCAAAGCCAACGACGGCGCCGATGACGATGATGAGGTCCATGTGCCGGTGATCAAGGTGATTGGTTGATGATGGTGGCAATGGCGGCGATTGGCGATGAGGATGACGATGATGATGCGATGACGTTGGTACTGGTAATTGTGAGGAAGTGCGCGCGCGCAACATTTCAGGAATTTTGGCCAGCTTGTGTTGAAAAGGCATTTGGTGTCACACGTTCTTGAATAGTTCTCGGGAGTCGAAGGGTTTCGACGCGCGCACGGCGGCGCGCGCGTGTGGCCCGCATATTTTGATGTGATATTGGCCCGTGCACTGGGTGCATGCTGGATTGGAGCATACGCAATTCGCGGTTATATGTGAATGTGGCTCTAGACGAGTTTGTGAACATCATCTTTTGATCTGGTTTCAGCAAGGGTGCGTGGGCAGGGAATGTGCAAGTCTGTTAATGGAACACGCTTGCTTGTCTTAGTATGTTGACATGCGTTGGACAAGTAATGTGCTTGGCATGATTTGACATGTGCGCGTATGAGGGCTTTGATTTTCTTGTGCAGTGGGTTCTGATATTTTTCTGAATCGACGAGTGCGCGCATGGTACCTATTTGACAGGG